AGGAAGGCAGCCACTACCGCCATACACTTTGTAAAAACCCTGGGGGCCGTAGAAAGGCCAAAGGGAAGGGCCGTAAACTGATAATGGTCGTGACCCACCATAAAACGGAGGAATCGCCTGTGCGGGGGTGCAATAGAAATGTGGAAGTAGGCGTCTTTGAGATTGAGGGCAGCGTACCAGTCTCCCATGGCTAGGGAAGGAATGACGGAGGCCAACATTACCATTTAGAACTTTGACTTTACCATGAGAGGAAACTTATTAATGGGGAAAAAATTAATCAAAACTGATTATAATATTCAGTGTCAAAGGACTCTGTGTTTTGCTTTTGCTGCAAGTTGTTTAGAAATCAAGCAATTGGCACGTAGCTTACTGAAAATGGTTCGAAGGACTGGAAAAACATATCAATTCTCTCTTCACATGAAAGAAGTAAAGAACATTTTCAGTGTTCTCAAAATTGGAAAGAACTTGAATTACGATTGAAAAAAGGCAAAACTGTCGATGAAGAAAATTTACGTGTGATGAAGGGGAAAAAGAATATTGGTGACAAATATTAGAGCATCTGATTGCTTTCGTGAGAGTTTTCGGTGAGCAAAATATAGCATTCCGCGGCCACGGTAGAAAGAGGTGATAGAAAATTTTTAAAATTTGTTGAATACCTAGCTTTGTTTGATCCAGTAATGGAAGAGCATCTACATAAAATAACTGATAATGAAACACAGGTTCATTACCTAGGAAAAAATATGCGAATGAACTGATTCAAATCCTAGCAAATACCATTAGAAAGAAAATTTTAGAAGCTGTCCATTCTGCTAAATACTTTTCAATAATACTGGACTGTATAGCAGATGTGAATAATGTTGAACAAATGACGATGATTATTCGTTTGGTGGATATGGAAAAGTCTGCAGATGAAGATAATGTTGAAGTGCTCATAAAGGAACATTTTTGAGGTTTCGTATCACTGAAGGAGACAACTGGAGCATTTATGACACTAGCTATTGATAACTTACGTGGCCAAGGCTATGATAATGGTAATAATATGGAGGGCAAAGACAATGGTGTGCAAAGGAGAATCCTGGAAATTAATCCTAGGGCCTTTTTCGTTCCTTGTAGTGCGCATTCTTTGAATTTGGTTGTAAATGATGCTGCTAGATGCTGTTTGGAGGCAAGCAGTTTCTTTAACCTGGTGCAATGTGTTTATGTGTTTTTCTCAGGCTCAACACGCTGTTGGGAGATTCTGACTTGCCATGTGAATTCTCTAACTGTGAAACCACTTAGACAAGTGGTGTCGCATTGATGCTTTGAAGCCTCTTCACTATGAACTTGGCAACATTTATGATGCCCTAATTGAAATTTCTGACGATACTACCTTTCCTGGATCATCTGGCATGTCGGCATGTTCAGATGCAGAAGCTCTTGCAAATGGCCTTTCCAAGTTCAAATTTGTGACTTCACTCATTTTGTGGTATAATATCCTTTTCCTGATTAACCTCACTAGTAAGCAACTTCAGGAAAAGAACTTGGACATACACTCTGCTATTCAAAAACTGCAGCAAACTAAAAATATTCTGGAAGAATTCAGAAGTGATGAAGGGTTTGAAAGAACACTAATAGATTCTCTCGAGCTTGCTGAAGGAATAGACTTTCCAACCGAATTTGAACCAAACCCAGTTTGCATTCGGCAAAAGAAACAGCAGTTTTTGTATGAAGGACGAGACACACCCATTCAGAATACAAAACAAAGGTTCAAGGTGAATTTCTACTTTGCAGTCCTTGATACTGCTATTCATGCAGTTGATGAAAGATTTCAACAGATGCAGCAGCTAGAGTCAGTATTTGGTTTTCTATGTGATATCCACAATTTTCAAAATAAAACAGCAAAACAGATAAGAGAATTGTGTATAAAACTGGAGTCGGCATTGTCTCATGAAAATTCAAAAGACATTGATGCTACTGATTTATGTAGTGAGCGTCAGGCTTTTTCGAGACGACTTAAGAAACATTTCCCTCCTGAAGAAGTACTGAAGTTTGTTTGTGAAAATAAACTCTCAGTTTTCTAAACATTTTAATAGCTCTACGGATTCTGCACACAAACTCTCTCATACTTACCTGAGCCTGCTCCTCACAAACACCACCTCAGGCTGCAGACGCCTGTAACCGTGCTCCTGTCTCCTCAGAGCTAGAAAGCTTCTAGTTCTCCAAATTAATAAAAACATATCTGCGTTCAACAATGGTGCAAGAGAGACTTGTTGGACTTGCCACAACGTCAATAGAACATGAAATAGCTGGAAAACTGGATCTAAAAGAACTAGTGACTGAGTTTTCAAAACGTAAAGCAAAAAAAGTCATGTTTTAAGAGCACAGAGTGTTTTTTATTCAGAGTATTTTGTAATTACAAGTTGAAGTTCATTGAAGAGTTTTCTTAGCTCTTTCTATATTAGATGTGGTGGTAATGGCAGTTAAAGCAGGATAGCGTAATGGACTATTTTTGACTTGTAATAATAAAAATAATTAACATTTTAATGCATTTTTATTTGAAATTGGACTCAAATATCGTCTAGCTGTTGTGTACAAA